AATCTGCTTACTTGTGTTGTGAAATGAGATGTTTTCCTGTTTATCTTCTGTTAATAAATCCATAACAAACAGCTTTTCTGGCATTATTTAAAACACTAAATAGATTATATAAACTGTAAAATATTAATAATAATTGGGTTGATATTATTATTAATAGTTTTTATGATTTCTACATCCTCAGTCCTTTTTTTCTGCTTTGTTGTCAACATGTACAGTAATGGGAAATCCAGACTCGTGACCATTTAGCGTTAGCCGTTAGCTTCACCAGCCGATCACATGGTCACCTGGTTTCTGAGCTACAGCTGCTCTATAGAACCTCCTTGGTAGTGCTTTAAAAATCACCCACAACTTTCCAACACAAAAGAAATCTTTCCAGATTTGTGAAAACGCTGCTCTAAAAACACCCAACATATTGTTACAGGAAGAGAGGTGCCGAGGAAACAAAACGCAYCGAGTGGAGAAAATCTGCAGCTTTGAATAATCCGTCTGAACAAATCCAGGTTCAAGTCTGGGTTTAAACTGCTTTGATGTTCAAACACTTRGGCGGGTGAAGTATTTTTAGATGAAAGCACCACCTCTAATAATACATTACAGTTCTACAAGGCTGCTGTAGTGCTGGTGCTTGACCTTGTCTTTTTCATCAAATTATTTTTGCAAACATAGAATTATTTTTGTGAATGTGTGTGCGCAAAGTCAACTGAAAACGACACCAGAGTTCATTTCTGTGTGCAGATTGAGCCTTGAGGCTTTCAGCTTTAACACAAAGGTCTGTGTCGAGTTTCGCTGCTTGTTGTGGCTTCAGAGTCATTGTGYTGTAAATGTCCCCAACATCAGTCAACACCAGCTTCATCTACGCAGTCGGATTTCTGCTTTTGATTTTTGAGAAGCAGCGCTGCGCTGAAGAGTCGATCCTAAATGTCTGAAATCTGTGCAGCTCCACGGGCAGACTTTTACACAGATGTCTCCCAAAGTACTCCAAACACTAAGTCTTCTTTAGTCACTAAATCATATTTACTAAACAAAGACAGGAAAAGAAAGAAAGCACACAGAAACAATGTCGTTGAGAAACAGAAAAGTTACACAGCACACAATCAAGTTTCTCAGGAGAACGGTTGACTAAAACCTTTAATTCAGAGATTCAATCAGGAATCATCTGTTTGAAACTGCAGACACACACCTCTCTAACACACACTTCTCTAACACACACTTCTCTAACACACACTTCTCTAACACACACTTCAGGCTTGTCTTGACAGAAACAGAGACATCTGATCAAAGTTTGATGTTCAAAATGAACCATTTAAGCTGATCCTGATCCTGAGTCAGATGCTTTGGCACACAAGCTGTGTTTCCATCGCAAATGTGCACAAAACTTTGTTGATATTCTGTTAATGTCGAAAAAACACAGTTTCACAACTGCAGTGTTTCCATTAAGTAAGAAATGCTATTAAAGTCACGCGTGAATACGTTTGTTCTCGCGATAAGTCATTAAAAACATGGCGGCAATGGATGTAAACACATAGCATGTTGCTACCRCGACACTAGCGCTCATCATCAGAGCAGACGTCGGCGTCTTTTATCDAGGCTTTCCAGAGACAAGTCCCTACTTGGGAGCGGCTACTAGGGGTGTAAGAAAATATAGATACACTGAAATATCGCGATATTTCATTTCCCGATACTGTATCTACTACTGTATATCTAAAGCCCTGTATCGATTTTTTTATTACGGTTTAAAATGTCAACTTTCCTGCCAGCCGTTCATTTTTATGTTGTAGTACAGCCTCTGACCACTAGTTGGCAGCAGTGAGCCAGCCATTTGGCTACTCTACCTCTTGAGGTAGAGGCCAT